GAGCTGAGGGACAGCGCCCAGGCCCAGAGTTCAGGCCCCACAACTGACAAAAAAAAAAAAAAAGCTAGACCTTGAGTTGTGGCTCAAGTGGTAGAGCACTGGCATAAGCACAAATACCAAACAAAAGCATGAGACTCTGAGTTCAAGCTCTGGTATTAGAACAAGGCAGGGGGAGGGAGGGAGAGCCAGGTGCTGGTGGTTTATGCCTGTAATCCTAGCTACTCAGGAGGCTGAAATCTGAGGATTGAGGTTTAAAGACAGCAGAAAAATTTCTGAGACTCTTATCTCCAATTAACCACCAAAAAGCCAAAAGTGGATCTGTGGCTCAAGTGGTGGATCACTAGCCTATAGTAAGAAAAGCTCAGGGACAGCACCCAGTCACGTTCATGCGCGCACACACACACACACACACACACACACACAAGAGCCATACTACCTCTTATGGCTCTAGGAAGGATCAATTGCAGAAGTCTTGTTTCTAGTAGTTTCTGTGGTTGGTAGTCTTCACAGGATGCTCTCCCTGTGGGCATGTCTGTGCCTAAATTTCCCTCTTTTGGCAGTGGAGGTATGACTCAAATGGTAGAGTGCCAGCTTTGCATAAGATAGCTTAAGAACAGTGCCCAGGCCCTGAGCTTAAGCCTTAGTACTGGCACCCTAAAAAAAGCAGCAGGGTTGGAGGCATGGCTCAATTGGTAAAGTTCTGATGTGAACAAAAGTGTCAGGTACTGAGATTGAGTCCCAGTCTTGGACCAAAAAAAAAATAGAATAAAGAAAAAATAGCTCCAAGTTCCCTTCTTTATTAAGGTATCAGTTATAGTGGAGTAGAAGCCCTCCCCACTCCTCACCTCCAAAATTTCATTTAAAAAGGGGGGGTCATATTCTGAGGAATAGGGATTAGACTTTCAATGTATGAATTTTGCAAGGGACACAACAATAGTTGTGTTATTAGCAATGCTTTTTGCAAGCCAAAAAGCTGGCACCAGGGATTACAGATTCTGTGGTCCTGCCCACAGGAAAGGAAGAGGATTGTCTTCGTGAATAGAAGAATGGATCAGAAGCCAAGCACCAGTGGTTCATGCCTATAATCCTAGCTACTCGGGAGGCTGAGATCTGAGAATTGTGGTTCAAAGCTGGCCTAGGCAGGGAAGTCCATGAGACAATTATCTTCAATTAACCATCAAAAAGCCAGAAGTGGAGATATGGCTCAAGTAGTAAATCACCAGCTTTGAATTAAAAAAAAAACTAAGGTAGCTGGGTACCGGTGGCTCCCATCTGTAATCCTAGCTACTCAGAGGTTGAGATCTAAGGATCTTAGTTCAAAGCCAGTCCAGACAGGAAAGTCCATGAGACTCTTATCTCCAATTAACCACCGAAAAATGGAAGTGGTACTATGGCTCAAGTGGCAGAGTGCTCGCCTTGAGCTGAAGAGAGTTCAAGCCCCATGACCAGCAAAAAAAAAAAAAAAAACCAGGGGCTGGGAATGTGGCTTAGTGGTAGAGTGCTTTACTAGCATGCCAGAAGCCCTGGGCTCAGCACCAAATAAACAGAAAAAGCAGGAAGTGGCACTGTGGCTTCACTGTTAGAGTGCTAGCCTTGAGCAAAAAAGCAGCTCAGGGACAGTGCTCAGGCCCTGAATTCAAGCCCCAGGACTGGCAAGGCAAAAAAAAAAAAAAAACCTAAGGTATAGCACATATGACCTGAATTCAAGTCATGTAAAAGGAGGAGGAGGAGGAAGAGAAGCAGCTGCTAGATGAATCAGAGCCCTAGGCTTATGCAGTGGTGAAGTGAGGGACTGGGTTAAAATGCCAACGTCTCCAATAGTGATTGAGTACCACCATGGGCAGTTCCCATGTTCTGCATTTGGTATGGACTGTATATCATGTAACCATAATCTCACAGTCACAACTGTACAGTACACCCCATTCCCAATTTATGAGGAGAAAAAGGAACCTTGACACTGCTGCAGCAGAAACAAGAAATCAGCAAAGCCAAGATTTAAACCCAAGGTTGACCCTTCTTGTCTTTTTTTTTTTGGTCCAGTGACAGCACTGTCCCCTTAACTTTTTCCATAAAAGGTTAGTTTTTGTTGTTGTTGGTGTTGGTTAATTGGAGATAGACCTTTCATGGACTTTCCTGTCCAGCCTGACTTCAAATTGTGATCCTCAGATCTCAGCCTCCTGAATAACTAGGGTTACAGGTATGAGCCACCAGTGCTTAGCTGGTGCGTCAGTGCTTACCTGTGCTAACCTGTGCACCTTTTTTCTAGACCTATTTTCCTGTCTTTAAAGTTGGACTAAAACAATCATAAAGATTAAATAACCACTTAGCACATAGTGTGGAGCAAAGCCAAGACAGTCTCTTCCCCCTACCTATGCCCATAGCTTGTTCATATACGGGAGATTTTTCAGTCACCCTCTTCATATCTAAGTGGCCAGCACTCCCTACTCTCAGCCCATTTCCCCACAGTCACACCTGGATGGGCTGTTGAGTGTACGGCTGTCCCTATGTTACTGCCACTTGAGATTGAACTTCCCAGGAACGGTGGGTGCAGGGGAAAGCACTCAAGTAGCACCCTTTAAAAGTGGAATGAGGGGTGTGGTTACCAGATGAACACAGAGATGGGCAGAAGAAAGGAAAGATGGATGAGTGGAACAGAGGAAAGATGCATGGATGGATGGATGGAAGGTTGGTTGTATATCTAAAATGTGGAAAGAAAAGAGAGCTGGTGCTCTGTGCTCTGGTGGCGGGGAGGGAGTGTGGGCGGGGCGTCGGGGTGGAGAAGGGCGGGGCATCGAGGGGGCGGGGCGTTTGGGTGAGGCCTGGCTCCGGACTGGGCGGGGCGTCGGGGGCGTGGTCTGAGGCGAGGGGCGGGGTCTTGTCTGGGCGGTCCCTTTGCCCCGACCCCGCCCGTTCCGGAGGCGGTGCTGCCCTCCGGCCCATTGGGCGCTGAGAACTGCGCTGCGCCGGGAGAACGCGGCGCCGCGGGAGCCCAGGCCAGGTGAGCGCAGCCCGGGGATGCGATGTGGGATGGGCGAGCAGGGCGAGGGAGGACAGAGTACCAGGCCCTGCCTGCTGGCTGGGCCAAGCAGCCCTAGCGTGGACGGGGGGGGGGGGGGGCATCGCTCTTTCCTGCCAACCACGAAGGTCTCAGAACCAAATCCCATTATGGGGTCCCCCCGTGGATCTGCAATCGAACTCAGCGACTGTAATTCTGCCTCATGTTCTCTGGGACTCAGTTTCCACCCCTGGGTGATGGGGAACTCTTAGGAGCCTCTGTTTCCCCAGGAAAATGAAATACAACCACGGCGGTCAGCCCTTTCCTTGGCCAGAGCACCCGAGTGTGGCTGCACTCATCAGCAGCTAGGTGCTGGCCTACTATGTGCCAGGCACTGCTCCGGATCTGTGACCCCACGAGCAAACCCCTGGTGCCCCTGGTGCCGTCTGCATTCTAGTGATTTGCAAAGTGCCTTGGCATCTCTTCTTTCACAGACAGAGCAGCTGAGGTTATTGGGGCTGTGGATACTGAAATAACAATGAGGTTCTCGGGATCTTGCTTCAGGGCACACCCAGCAAATGGGGTCCCAAGGCCAGGTTCCAGCCTTTGCCACAAGCAGTTCTTTACATAGGACGCTGAGCTGGCACTGGTAGCACGGGCCCTAATCTCCGCTACTCAACAGGCTGAGATATGGATAAGAATCTCTCAGCAAAATTAAAACAGCAAAATGCTGGACTGGAGGCATGGATCAAGTAGTAGAGCACCAGCTGCTAGCAAGAAGTTATCTGGGAGTGGAATCCTCTACTTTCCATGGCTGACTGGAGGGATATCCTGACCCCATTCAACCTATTAGTGCTTATCACAAGGCAGGGGTAACTGTACTACTCTCCTAGTACTTTGGCAAACAGAGTAGACTAAAAGAGTTCTTAGCCAGGCACCAGTAGCTCATGCCTGTACTCTGAGCTACTAAGGAGGCTGAGACCTGAGGATCAGAGTGAAGCCAGACTGGGCAGGAAAGTCCTTAAGACCCTTACCTCCAACTAGCCACCAAAAACAAAAACAAAAACCCAGAAGTGTACCTATGGTTCAAGTGGTAGAGCACCAACCTAGAGAGAAAACGCTAAGGGACAGTGCGCTGACTCTGAATTCAAGCCCCAGTTCTGATACAGAAGAAGAAGGAGTAGGAGAAAGAAAGAAAAAGAGAGGGGGGAAGAGAATGTTGGAAGGGAGGAAGGAAGGAGAGAGAGAGTTCTTATGGCTGTCAGAGTCGCTGCCCTGTGATCACACCATCAACTATGAAGCTCATCAGTCAGCAATCATTTACAGAACATCTGCCATATCTCACAGCCAATATCATCTGCAGAGCAGAGACTTAATTACCTGTATAAGTAATACCTGGTGCATAGTAGGCCTGCAAGCAGTGACTGCTTTTATTTATAAGGCTTATGAGCTGGCCTGAGCCTAGTCAAGTGTCATCTTCAGGTAGAATGATAGGGTTAGGGGTGATCGTGGTGTCAGTGATCCACAGCTTGTCTGAAGCCTGCAGGGGGCTTGGGCTGGCCCTGTGGTGTCAGCCAACTGCTTTCCTGGATGGCCTATGAGAGAAAGAGGCAGCAGGTGTCAGGGCGGGGCAAGCCCAGACCTTGGAATCAATACAAGTTTCCAGGGTGCTGAGCCTTTTAGGATCCTATGTGGATACCTCTCCTCTTCCCCCTCCCTTTCCTCCTCCTCCTCCCTCCCTCCACCTTGGCCTCCCCTTTCTCCATACTAAGCTTTGAACTCTTGTTTGGCTTTTTCATTCAAGGCTAGCACTCTATCACTTGAGCCGCAGCTCCAGGTGGTTCCAAGGTAAGAGTCTCATAGACTTCCCTGCCTTGACTGACTTTGCACTGTGATGATCCTCAGATCTCAGCTTTCTGAATAGCTAGGGTGACAGTTGTGAGCCACCAGCACCTGGCCGCCTCTCTTCTTCCTGCTTCTCTTCCTCTTCCACTTCCTTTTCCCCTTCTCCAAGAGTCCTCATACCTCCTTGATTAGAAAGTGCCAGTCACCTCCCAGTCTGGTGAGTTTCGCCTGGGCACAATTACAGTCACTTCTGGCTCCTTCTAGGACTATATGGAGACTGGGGTTGGAAAGTCAGAAATGCACTACAAATCTGTCCTGTGGTGTGACTTTGGGTGCCCATTTTGTGCGATCATCTGGGTTCTTGGGCTCTGAAAGGGATAGGACCCCCTGGGAACTCAAAGGGTCTCTAATTTCTTTTTTCTCTCCCCCCCTTTTTTTGTGCCAGTCCTAAGGCTTGAACTCAGATCCTGAGCTCTGTTATTGAGCATATTTTTGCTGAAGGCTTAGTGCAGAACCACTTGAGCCACAGCTCCCTTTCTGGCTTTTTGGTGGTTCATTGGAACTAAGAAGCTCTTGGACTTTCCTGCCCAGGCTAACTTTGAACTACAATCCTCAGATCTCAGCCACCTGACTAGCTAGGATTACACGAGTGAGCCACAGTTGTCCAGCAAAGGGTTGCTACTTTCCTCCTTGGTTCCCCTCCATCCTAGGACTCTGATGATCTGTGTGACATGAGATGACTCTGGAATGTTCTCCTTTGCTTTGTCTACAGGTGGACAGCTTCTGGGCTGCATGGCTCTGTAGAGAATGAAGCCCAACCCCACAGGCTCCTCACCACAGCCTTGCATAGCCACGGGCCAGGCGGAGAAGTGCTGTCCTGTCTGCCAGGCGTGGGGAGCGGTTTCAGGCCCAGAGTCTGGTTTAGGGCCGGGGACAGGGCCTGGTGCTGTTCTGGGAGCTGGGCCAGGACCCAGTTCTCTTCTGGGGTCTGGGCAGGGACCCAGTGCTGTTTTGGGATCTGGCACTGCTCTGGGACCTGAGTCAGGAGCTGCACCGAGTGCTGGGTTGGAAGCTGGGTGGGGATCTAGGTCAGGAGCCAAGGAGGTTGGGTCAAGACCTGGGTCAGGACCTAGGTCAGCTCCTGGGCTGGTAGCTGTGTCAGGACTCGCCTTAGGACCTACAGCAGGAGCTGGCACCAGAGCTGGCTCAGGACTCCTGTCAGGAGCATGGCCCGGGCCTAAGTCAGGAGCTGGGACAGGACCTGAATCAGGAATCGGACCAGGACTTGGGCCTGGAGCTGAGTCAGGAACTGGGTTGGGACCCCTATCAGTAGCTGGGACAGGATTTGGGTCAGGACTCCGCCAAGGAGCTGCACCATTACCTCAATCTGGGCCCAAACCCAGTGAATCAGCCGCAGCGACAGCACCAGTACCGCAGCAGAAGACTCCAACCAGCCCCGCACAGAGCCGCAGACAGAAGGTTCTAGTGACAGGTGGAGGAGGCTACCTGGGCTTTAGCCTGGGCTCCACCCTGGCCAAGAGTGGTGCTTCTGTCATCCTTCTTGACCTCCGCAGACCCCAGTGGGAAGTGCCCCCGGGGACCCAGTTCATCCAGGTGCCAGAATGGAGGGGGGCGCTGGAGGTGGTGGTTTGGGGGGACAGAATCCAATGTGAAGCCAGTAGTGGAGCCAGCATTGGCTTCTGCTCCAGCTCCTTTACTCCCTGCTTCCCTGAGCCTCAGGGTCCTCATCCACAGAAGAGACAATAATACCTACTTTATAAGGGTCTCACTGCGTGTGATAGTACATACCTGTAACCCTAGCACTCAGAGACTGAGAGAGAAGATCAAGGCCAAGTCAGGGCTACACAATGAGAAGGCTGTGTCTCAAAACCAAAATAAGGGCTAGGCACCAGTGGCTCACACTTATTATCTTCTCTACAGAGGAGACTGGGATCTGAGGCAAGAAAGTCCATGAGACTCTCATCTCCATTTAATCACCAAAAAGCCAGAAGTGGAACTGTGGCTCAAGTGGTAGAGTACCAGCCTGAGTGAAAAAGCTAAGAGACAGTGCCTAGGCCCCGAGTTCAAGCCCCAGTACACACACACACACACACACACACACACACACACACAGAGCCTGGGTTCTAGACTCATGTGGACAGCTGACAGGTACAGTGCCCTGTAGGATCCTATAGTAAATCTAACGCATAGATGCTTGATCTGAGCAGGTTAGGGCTGGCTCTGGGACCTGGTGAGGTATGGAAGTGCCGTGTCAGTTTGCCTTGAACTTGACCCTTTGGTATGTCGTCCTTCTGTGTTTCAGGCTGATGTGCGAGATGAAGGAGCCCTGTTCCGGGCCTTCGAGGGGGTGGACTGTGTCTTCCACGTGGCTTCCTATGGGATGTCCGGTACTGAGAAGGTGAGAGCCTCCCATTCCTACCTGGATTAGTCACTGTGGCTCCACCCACCACAACCCTGGGGCCCATGGATTCTTCATGGCTCTTCGCCTCTTCCAGGGAGGATTTAGATACCATATACCAGCTCTGCTGCTTTTTTGCTGTATGACTCAGGGCCTGATAACTTAACCGCTCTGAGCTGGAGAGTGAGGACATTACTAATATATCACAGCCTCTTCAGGCTGTGACAGTATCTTTCAAAGTGTGTGTGTGTGTGTGTGTGTGTGTGTGTCTAACTCCAAGATGGCAGCGTTTTTGTTTGTTTGGGGTTGGTTGAGGGGCTTGAACTCTGGGCCTGGGCACGGTCCCTGAGCTCTGCAGCTCAAGGCTAATGCTCTACTACTTGAGCCACAGCACCACTTTCCATTTTCTGGTGGTTTATTGGAGATAAGAGTCTCATAGACTTTCCTGACCAGGCTGGCTTTGTTTTTGTTTTTATTTTTTATTTTTATTTTTTTGGGTCCAGTCGTGGGGCCTGAACTCTGGGCCTGGGCGCTGTCCCTCAGCTCTTCAACTCAAGGCTAGCACTCTACCACTTGAGCCACAGCGCCACTTCCAGCTTTTTTTTTTCTGCTTGTGTGGTGCTGAGGAATCAAACCCAGGGCCTCAAGCATGCAAGGCAAGCGCTCTACCACTGAGCCACCTTCCCAGCCCACCGGGCTGGCTTTGAACCGCTATCCTCAGCCTCCTGAGTAGCCAACCGCCTGGCTCTTATTTTTATATTTACCGTATTTTCAGGTTTGTTTTTAACTAACAAGACCCAGGAGTTGGGTGCCAGTGGCTCATGTCTGTAATCCTAGCTCTTCAAGAGGCTGAGATCTGAGGATCCCAGTTCAAAGCCAGCCTGGGAAGGCAAGACTATGAGACTCCTATCTCCAATTAACCATCAAAAAAAAAAACAGAAGCAGAGCTGTAGCTCAAAGTGGTAGAGCACTAGCCTTGAACATAAAAGCTCAGCGACAGCGCCCAGGTTTTAGGTTCAAACCCCATGATGGACAAAGCCAGCCCGGGCAGGAAAGTCCATGAGACTCCTAGGTCTAATTTAACCAGCAAAAAGCCAGAAGTGAAGCTATGGCTCAAGTTGTAGAGTGCCAGCCTAGAGTGAAAAAGCTAAGGAACAGTGCTCAGGCCCTACCTTTAAGCCTTAGTACTCTCCCCCCACACCAAAAAAAGAAGTCTGTTGACATCCAAGGGGTCAGCTCTACTTTATAGAGGGACCCGAGGGCCAGGCAGGGTTGGAGTCTCCACCTGGTTGCCCAGGGAGCTGAGGACAGCTGGGTACCCAGGCTACCTGAGGGTCTCTTGGATTTCTACCTCTGAGTTGGATGCTCTTCCATCTTCTGCCCGGCAATACCATGACTTCCCACCTTCATCTTCTCTTTTAGCTACAAAAAGAGCAGATTGAGTCTATAAATGTTGGAGGCACCAAACTAGTGATCAATGGTAGGAGCTCAGAGTGGAGTGTGGCCGTGTGTTTTCTCTTCTCCCTTCTCCTGCCACAGGCCCAGCTCCTGGGGGTGGGGGCAGGGCTGGAGCATAAAAGGGGGACCCTCTGGGCCTACCCCTTGCTACCCCAGCTGAAGGCCTGTGGCAGTGCGCCTTTCCTGTGTGCAGTCCTGCTCAGGGCTTCAACAACCTCAGTGTGTCTGGAAACAGGGGACTCTGAACTGAGGTTGAGGACAATAGGAAAAATCCCCAAAGCACCTAATACAAGACGCATGTTGGGCCCTCTGACTATGCCCAGCCTTTTCTGGCATCCATTTTTCTCTGATTCTAGAATGTCTTTTTTTTTTTTTCCTTTTGTCTTCATGGAATGAGACTTTCTCTGATCCGTTCTTCACAGGATAGTTCAGGACCAAGACCACACTGGGAGGAAAATGAGCAGGACTGCCCCTCTCCCCCACCAGAGACTGAACTCACACCCCCAAGTTAAAAGGAAAAGGCTGCCAGGCCTCAGTGGCTCACACCTATAATCCCAGCTACTCAGGAGGCTGAGATCTGAGGATCACAGTTCAAAGCCAGGACCAGCAGGGAAAGTCCAGGAGACTCTTTATCTCCAATGAACTATGAAAAAAAACAGAAATGGAGCTGTGGCTCATGTGGTAGAGTACTAGCCTTGAACATAAAAGCTAAGAGTCAGTGCCTAGGCTCTGAGTTCAAGCCCCAGGAGTGGCACAAAATATAAAAGGAGGTGGCTTTTCTAGCCTGAGCAGCAATACTTTCTGGGAGGACCCAGCGTTTGGGGTGAGGGGAGGAGTGTTGCAGATCATGGATTCGCCCAAGGAGGTCCCTATGAGCCCCATCCTCAGTGACACTTGCTCTGCCTGTGTGTGTGTGTGTGTGTGTGTGTGTGTGTGTGTGTGTGCATGCGCACGCACGTGCACATGTACTTGTCTCTGCAGTCTGTGTCCGTCGGAGGGTTCAGAGGCTCGTCTACACCAGCACTGTGAATGTGGCATTCGGAGGGAAGCGCATCGAGGAGGGTGATGAGGACTCTGTGCCATACTTCCCACTGGACAAGGTACCTGGTTTTCAGGAGTGGTGGGTGGAGCTGGTGGGTGGGGCTCCAGTGGAAGTCAGCGAGCATCCCAGCAAGAACAGCCCCTAGCTGGGTGGCCCAAACCACTCCTATTTCAGCTCACCTGCAGGGGCCTCTGATCTTTCTTCTTCTTTTGTTAGTTTTTTGTGTGCCAATCCTGGGGCTTGAACTCAGAGTCTGGGCACTGTCCCTGAGCTTTTTTTTATGCTCAAGGCTAGCAATTGAGTCACAGCTTCACTTCTGGCTTTGGGGTGTGTGTGTGTGTGTGTGTGTGTGTGTGTGTGTGTGATTGGAGATAAGAGTCTGGGTATGTGTATGTGTGTGTGTGTGTGTGTGTGTGTGTGTGATTGGAGATAAGAGTCTCACAGATTTTCCTGTCCAGTCTGGCTTTGAACCACAATCCTCAGATCTCAGCCTTCTGAATAGCTAGCATTATTTTTGGGGGAGGGGGATCCAGTCATGGGGCCTTGAACTCTGGGCCTGGGCGCTGTCCCTCAGCTCTTCAGCTCAAGGCTAGCGCTCTACCACTTGAGCCACAGCGCCACTTCCGGCTTTTTTCTTATGTGGTGCTGAGGAATCGAACCCAGGGCCTCGAGCATGCAAGGCAAGCGCTCTACCACTGAGCCACCTTCCCAGCCCCTGAATAGCTAGCAATATGAGCACCTGGCTGCACGGGAGACTTTGAAATCAGACAGACCTGGCCTAGAGTCCCAGCCTGGCCTTTTTCTACCTGTGATGCTGCTCGAGTCCTTCCATACTCAGAGCCCCTGTGTCTTCCTAGTGTATGATAGGTAGAGGTAGCTGTGGAGAGAAGGTGAGATAGCGGATGTAAAAATGCCACGGGAACCAGGAAGAACGCCTCGAGAAGCTCCTCCAATGCATGTGCGCAGGGTCATCTTAATGTTCTCAAACTAGCGGCCCTCTGCCCCTGTGAGTCTAGAAGGTGACCCTGCCTACCCCCAGGGGAGAGCCGGGCCAGTAGCATTCAGGACTTGGCCATAGCCAGGCTTTTGGTAGCTTCTACCTATGATATTAGCTATTCAGGAGGCTGAGATTTGAAAACCACTGTTTGAAGCCAGCCAGTGCAGAAAACTCCAAGAGACTCTTATCTCTATCACGCACACACAAAAGCCAGAATTAATAGGACACTAGTCTTGAGCAAAAGAAGCTCAAGGACAGTACCCAGACCCCAAGTTCAAGCCCCAGGACCAACACGGTAGCCAACATCCCAGCTGGATTTCCCAGAATCCAAAGGGAAGCTAGCCCTGGGCCTGGCTGGGCAGGCAGCAGCACTGACCCCTGTGTGTGTGGGCTCTGTTTTCCCTGTTCTCTGGCAGCACATGGACCACTACTCCCGAACCAAAGCCATTGCCGACCAGCTGACTCTCCTGGCCAATGGGACACCTCTCCCAGGTGAGTAAGATCACCAAAATGTATGCATTATTGTGGCTTTCAGGAGACATATACCTGAGGCCCAACGCCCTTCCTCGGGACAGCTCCCTAGGGCCTAGCCTTCTGCCATTCAAAGTATTCTGAACCCATGCTCTGGGCCTCACCTGGGCAAATCATGGTGTATCCTCACTGCTCATGCTCTGTCTGCTGAGGGGAAGATGTGGTCTCACCCAGGGCTAGCTCCTTTCTTCTTATCAATGTAGATCCAGTTTTAGGAGGCTGTGTGTGTGTGTGTGTGTGTGTGTGTGTGTGTGTGTGTGTGTGTGTGTGTGCACGCACATGCACGTACACTAATTCTGGGCTTGAACTCAGGGCCTGAACTCTGTCTCTTAGCTTTTTCACTTAAGGTTGGTGCTTTACCACTTCAGCAACTGCTCCACTTCTGGCTTTTTGGTGGTTAATTAGAGATAAAGGTCTCACAGACTTTTCGGACTGGACTGCCTTTGAACCATGATCCTCAGACCTCAGCCTCCTGAGTAGCTAGGATTACAGTCGAGAGCCACCAGTGCCCAGCTTAGTCTGTAAGATTCTTATCTCCAATAAACCACCAGAAAACTAGAAGTGGCACTGTGGTTCAAGTGGTAGAGCACCAGTCTTGAGCTGAAGAGCTGAGGACAGTGGCCCCATGACTGACAAAAAAAGAAAAAAAAAACAGAAGTGAAGCTGTGGTTCAATGATGAATATGGAATGAGCTGTAACCTGGACTTCCCAGCTGCATTTTCTCTTCTGGTTACAGAGATGTGATAATAGAATATCAACAGTCCGTATTTATTGAGTGCTCAATACAGGTTGATTTCTGCACAGTTATTTTACTTATTTACTTGTTTGTGTGTGTGTGTTTGCCTGTGCACACGTGTGTGCATCTGTACTGGGATTTGAACCCAGGGCTTGATGCCCTCACTTGGCCTTTTCCCTCAAGGCTAGTACTCTATCACTTGAGCCAAACCTCCTCTTCCAGCTTTTTGCTGGTTAATTGGAGATTTAAAAAAAAATCTCAGGTTTATCTACACAGGCAGGTTTTGAACTGCAATCCTCAGATCTCAACCTCCTGAGTAGTTAGGATCACAGGCATGAGCCACTGGTGCCTGGTTTTGTCCAATACTTTTATATGCAAAAGGCTCATGCACTGCTCAGAGCATCCTGGAAGGTAAGCATCTTAGGTGTTCTTGGCTTTTCAAAGTCAGGTGCCAGATGCATCTAGGTAAATTTCTTGCCATCCAAATTATTACCATTGACTTTCTGTAATGCAAAAACAAAGGAATCAGGCAGCTTGACTCCTTTTGATGATCGATACTATCTAAACATGAGGGCCAGGTAGATTTGAAGAGTGAAAGATGCTTGAAATTAAAATCCCCATCCCAAAGGTGGTGGCTCTTACCCAAGAAGCTGATCTTGAAGCCAGCCCAGATGAATCTGTGAGACTCATCTCTAACCAGCAGAAAGCCAGAAGTTGAGGTATGGCTCAAGTGGCAGAGTACCAGCCTTGAGTAAAAAAAGCTAAGGGACAGTGTCCAGGCCCTGAGTTCAAGTCCCATGACCAGCAAAAAAAAAGAAAGAAAGAAAGGAAGGAAGGAAGAAAGAAAAGCCAAGCCAGGTGCCAGTGGCTCACATCTGTAATCCTAGCTACTCAGGAGGCTGAGATCGGAAGATGGTGGTTCAAAGCCAACCCAGGCAAGAAAGTCCATGAGATTCTTTTTTGTTGTTGTTGTTGGTTGTGGGGCTTGAACTCTGGGTGTGGGCACTGTCCCTGCGCTCTTCAGCTCAAGGCAAGCACTCTACCGCTTAAGCCACAGCGCCACTTCCAGTTTTCTAGTGGTATATTGGAGATAAGAGTCTCGGACATTGGGCTGGGAAGTTGGCTCAGTGGTAGAGCGCTTGCCTTGCATGCCTGAGGCCCTGGGTTCGATTCCTCAGTACCACATAAAGCAAAAAGAAAAACCCAGAAGTGGCACTGTGGTTCAAGTGGTAGAGCGCTAGCTTTGAGCTGAAGAGCTGAGGGACAGCGCCCAGACCTAAAGTTCAGGCCCCACGACTGGACCTCCCCCCACCAAAAAAAAAGTGTTTCGGACTTTCCTGCCTGGGCTGGCTTTGAACCATGATCTTCAGATCTCAGCCTCCTGAGTAGCTAGGATTACAGTCGAGAGCCACCAGTGCCCAAACCACCAGAAAACTAGAAGTAGCACTGTGGTTCAAGTGGTAGAGCACCAGTCTTGAGCTGAAGAGCTGAGGACAGTGCCCACCCCATGACTGACAAAAAAAGAAAAAAAAAAAAAAACAGAAGTGAAGCTGTGGCTCAAGTGGTTAAGTGCTGATCTTGAGCAAAAATGCCAAGAGAGAGCTTGAGGCCCTGAGTTCAAGCCCCAGTACTGGGACAAAAGAAAAGAAGGAAAAAACAGGGAGGGATGGCAGAAGGGAGAGAGAAGGAAGGAAGAAAGGAAAAAGAAATGGAAGGAAAAGGATGGAAGGAAGGAAGGAAGGATAGAAGGGAGGGAGGGAGGGAGGGAGGGAGGGTAGGGAGGGAGGGAGGAAGAGAAAGAGAGAACCAGGGTACTAGTAGTACATACCTACAATCCTAGCTACTCAGGAGGCTGAGATTTGAGGATCAAGGTTCAGAGCCAGACCAAGTAGGAAAGTCCATGAGACTCTTATCTCCAAGTAACCACCAGAAAACTAGAAGTGGAGCTGTGACTCGAAGTGGTAGAGCACTAGACGCCTGAGTTCAAGCCTCACAACTGACAAAAAAAAAGGAAAGAGGGAAGGAAGGAAGAAAAGGAAGGAAGGAAGGAAGGAAGGAAGGAAGGAAGGAAGGAAGGAAGGAAGGAAGGAAGGAAGGAAGGGAAGGGAAGGGAAGGTTGATTCTAATCCCCAGCTTACAGGTGACAAAAACAGACTGATTAGCTTCATTCAAGATCACACAGGATCACACAGCTCTGAGGTGGTAGAGGTAGGATTTGAACCCCAGGGCAATGTTACCCCCCAGAACCTAGGGCCTAACTCCCTAGAGAGAAGCTCTTCCCTAAAATGTCTGCACCTCCACACCCTGGGCTGCCAGGCCTTCGCACCTGGTCTCGGCAGGAACATCCAGCTGTGTCTTCCATGGGACTTGACCCAATGCCGTTGGATTCCCTTCTCTCCTGGGGCATCCCTGGCCAGGTCAGACCACAGCTGGCATGCTGGACACCTAATCCTCTGGCCGAGAATTATTCATGTGACCATCCCCAGCTTTCCATAGTCCAGAGAGTCACAGATACCCTGGGCTGGCCCCTCGGTTGTTTGGCTGCCTGGTGCCCCACTGGCCACTGTCAGCTGTCATCTGACCTCTTTCCACCATGCCCTGGGGACCCAGAGTTTAAACATAGCTGAGACTGTTTACAGAAAAGCGCACCTGACACCTGCCTCCAAGGAGTCCCGCATGGTCACCCAGGGTGACTTCCACTCCCTCAACCTTCCTCCTCCCTTAGCAGCGAGCGCTCTTGGCAGGTAGCACGTCCTTAGATATGCATACTTGTATGTCCCAGCTCACTGTCGGTGGGGTGTGGCCTCTTCTCTTCGGGCTTGAACTGAGGGCCTAAGTGCTGTCCTTGAGCTTTTGTGCTCAAAGCGGTGCTCTGCTACTTGAGCCACAGCTCTACTTTCAGCTTTCTAGTAATTCACTGGATATAAGAGTCTCATGAACTTGCCTGCCCAGGCTGGCTTTGAACTGTGGTCCTTAGATCTCAGTCTTCTGAGTAGCTAGGATGACAGGCGTGAGCCACTGGTGACCAGCTTTTGTTTGTACTTTTCATCTCTCTCCCAAGCCCTATTCTGTGTGTGTGTGTGTGTGTGTGTGTGTGTGTGTGTAAGAGAGAGAGAGAATGTGTGTGTGAGCATGTGTGCACGTGCGTATGTATATGCATGTACTGGTCCTGAGGTTTGAACTCAACTCTTGTGTACTGTTTCTGAGCTTTTTTGCTCAAAATTAGCACTCTACTACTTGAGCCACAGCACCACTTCCAGCTTTTTTTGGTGGTTAACTGAAATAAAGTTCCCAGACTTTACTGCCTGGGCTGGCTTTGAACCTCAATCCTCAGATCGTAGCCAAGTAGCTAGGATTACAGGCATGAGCCACCAGCTCCCTCTGCTTTTACTAATTCAAATCTTCTTCTCCATTCTCATTTTGCGACAGCTATGGATAACAAAAGAAAAGCCATTAGCCAGGTGCCCAGGCTGGCTTCAAACCTGGATTCTCAGATCCTAGCCTAATGAGTAGAGAAGATTACAGACATGAGCCCTTGGGCCCCACTGTAGACATATCTTTTTGAAGATTGTCATGTTACCCTTTGCCCTGGGCCTTATTGTAAAGTATGTGTTCTGTTATGATGCAGAGACATTGGCCCTGGCTCACTGGAGGGGAAATGAGTCCCCCTGGAGGGATGTGGCAGAGGGTTTTGAAAATGGATTTCTAGAAAAGTGACTGCCAGGCTTGGAAAAGACAAGAGTGAGGGCAGCCCTTGAGAACTAGGTGGCAGGAATAATGACCCGTGTCCTTAGGGCTGGTCCTCACCTAAGATGTGTCATCTTGGTATCATTGATATTGACAGCTACTCTTGGGCTACCCCCATTTAAGCAAACAGTCCCCTTCCCCAAAGCCTCTGCAAAGGGGAGAGGTTTCCAAAGGAAGATGAGCTGCTAGTGGCACTGGGCCTCCCATTCCAGAGAAAGGACCCCTGGTCTACACTGGGCCTGCTGCTTCTTCTCCCTGCCAGGCTGCTGCTCTGCAGGTCGCTAACTGCCTTCCCTGTGTCCTAGGAGGAGGGTCTCTCCGGACATGTGTGCTGCGGCCCCCAGGGATTTATGGGCCTGAAGAGCAGAGACACCTGCCCCGAGTGGCTGTATGTTACCCCAGTCTTCTGGAACAAAGGTGGAGGGAGGTTGATATGCGTGCTTCCCAGCCCCTCTCAGCTCAGAGTTACCAGCCTGGAGGCAGAGAATCCCTGTCTGGGACCCTCAGTTCTTGGAGATATCCCCCACCCACCCACCCCCATCTCCCAGCAGTCATATCCCTCAATGCCACCAGGAGTGAGTAGTGCTCTCTTTGCCAAGACTAAGCTCAATTTGGGGAAACAAGGAGCTGGAAATCTGGCGGACTTACATGGGCTCCCTGAGGGTTGAATGGATCATCTTATAGTGCCATGCAAGGGTCTTCAGGTTGAAAAACCTCTGTAGCAAGATGATGGTAGCTCATGTCTATAATCCTAGCTACTCCAGAAGCTGAGATCCAAGGATCACAGTTTGAAGCCATCCCAGGCAGGAAAGTTCATGAGACTCTTTTTTTTTTTTTAATTTGCTTTTTTGGAGGTCCGGTCGTGGGGCTTGAACTCTGGGCCTGGGTGCTGCCCCTCAGCTCTTCAGCTCAAGGCTAGCACTCTACCACTTGAGCCACAGTGCCACTTCTGGCTTTTTTCTTTTTGCTTATGTGGTGCTGAGGAATCGAACCCAGGGCCTCATGCATGCAAGGCAAGCGCTCTACCACTGAGCCACCTTCCCAGTCCTCATGAGACTCTTATATCCAATTAAAAATACCAAAAAGCTACAAGTAAAGCTCAAGCAGTAGAGCACTAGCCTTGAGCAAGAACAGCTCAAGGACAGTACACACACACACACACACACACTACCTCCCTCTAGAAAAAGCTAGGGTTAGGAATGTGGTGACAAGAGACTCTGGACTTGTCCTCATTAGCTTAGAACATGAGCCAATGGACCTGGCAGGACAGACGGGCTTCCTAGAGGAAGTGATGCCTATACTATTCAGGAGAAAGGGGAAACCCATCAAGAAACTGGAGTAGAGAGAAAGAAGGCTAAATAGAGGCGGCAGCTTGGGCACAAACCTAGGAATGAGAAAGGTCATGGTCAGGGTAGGAAGTAGCAAAGCTTCCTGATTCTGCATCCGATTTGGGAGGACAAGGTCAAAGGGAGGTATGGAAGGTTATTCCTTTGCAGGGATCTTAGGTCTGTTTGTTTTTTTTTTTCCTGGGGCTTGAATTCAGGGCCTGGATGCTGTCCCTTAGCTTTTGCACTCAAAGCTGGTGCTCTACCACTTGAGCCAAAGCACCATTTCCAGCTTTTTGGTAATTAAATGTAGACAATAGTCTCATGGACTTTCCTGCCCAGACTGAATTCAAACAGGGATCCTCAGATCTCAGCCTTCTGAATAACTAGGATTGCAGGCATGAGCACTAGTACCCAGCCATTATGTCTATTTTCTTTTGTTTACATTGACTGGATTCTTGAGAGTTGTATTAGTTACTTCTCTGTCCAGTGTGGCAAAATACCTGACATAAAGCAAGGAAGGAGCTATTTACTTTGTTCAGTTTCAGAGGTTTCAGTCCATCAAGGTGGGGAGAGCCTGGTGGGAGACAACTGTTGAGTTTATGGCAGCTAGGAAGCAGATGGAATGGTGTTTCTCATGGTGGACAGGAAGCAGAGCCAGGAGGCCCACCCAAGGACCCACCATTCAGACTGCTTCCCCCAGCCAAGGAGAAAGTTCCTCCGCCTTCCCAATGATCTATGTAAAATTTGAATGGGTTAATGGACTAAAGTATTAAATCAGAGCCCTCAGGCTCTCCACATCCCTAGAAACACCCTTACAGACACATCTTGCTATGTTCTACCAGTCTCCTAGGTGTCTCTTAGCTCCATCTTGTAGACAATCTAGACTTGCCATCACAAGGGCAACTCCAGTGAGACCCCCTACTTATTTGTTCAGCCAACAAACACTTAACTAGACCTACTATATTCCAGATTTTGAGATAGATTGTTAGACAATGCAGACAAAAATTCTGGTCTTTGTGTTTCTTTTCTTCCTTAAGGACACAGCCAGGTGGTTCATGCCTGTAACCTTAGCTCCTCAGGAAGCTGAGATCTGAGGATCAGAGTTAGAAGCCAGCCTGGGCAGAAAAATCCACTAGACATATCCCCAGTTATCCAGAAAAAAAAAAAGCTGAAAGTGGAGACATGGCTCAAGGAGTAGAGCACCAGTCTTGAGTGAAAAAGCCAAGAGGAAGCATGAGGCCTTGAGTTCAAGTCCCAGAACAGGCACAGAAAAAATGAATAAATACAGTAGAATTGCTCAATTTTAAGTGCTAAAGCACTGTGGAGGGAAAAAAGTAGAGTGAGAGAATTGGGCTTGCTGAGACTGAGGAAAAGCCCATGCAGAAGGTGACATTGTGAACACCAAAGCAGGAGGTGGACACGCTTGTCACTGGGTGTTTGCAAGAAGACCCTGCCAGGCAGGAGGCGGCTCTTTCAAAGCCACAGCAAGGTGTCCACGTGATCATGGCAGAGCCTATAAGATGTGTCAGAGCCAGAGCACAGATCAGAACAGGCTTCTTGGCCAGTTAGAACGTCAGCTTTAACCCAATAGCAGTGGCTCACACCTGTAATCCTAGCTACTCAGGAGGCTGAGATCTGAGGATCACAGTTTCAAGCCAACACAGGCAGGGAAGTCCAGGAGACTCTTATCTGCAATTAACCAGCTAAAAAGCCAGAAGTGGAGCTGTGGCTCAAGTCTGTGGTAGAGTGCTAGCTTTTGGCAGAAAAGTTCAGGGACAGTGCTCAGGCCCTGAGTTCAAGCCCCCAGGACCAGCAAAGAGGAAGAGCAGGAAGGGGGTGGGGAAGAGGAGGAAGAAGAGGAAGAACTGCTTTCAACATGTCAGCATGGACATTTTTGGAAAGTTCTGGGCCAGAACACACACACACACACAGAACGGAAGTGGGGGTGGGGGGATCTTTCTGGTTATGCAGAGATCTGACTGCAGGGGTTGGGGTGGAGGAATGGAAAGAAAAGAAGGCTGCTGGAGGTCCAGGTAAGGGGTGAGGGTAGCGTCTGGAAGCAGCAGAAGAGGGGGATCTGATGGGTGCAGACAGGTTTGAAGAGCGAGGCCAGCTGGATATGTGGGACGGAGGGCTGGACAGGGACACCCACGTTGGCCCTGTGTCACCTGTTAGTCTGCATGAGGTACAGGACCTGTCCTGGACTGGGCACAGAGGATGTAGGAGCATGTAGGTAGGGCTGAAAGCCACCAAGCTCAAGCGTACCTTTGTCACCACTGCTCCCCACCAGAGCCACATCAGGAGGCGGCTGTTCATGTTCCGGTTTGGGGACCGCAAGACCAGGATGAACTGGGTCCACGTGCACAATCTGGTGCAGGCTCACTTGCTGGCGGCCGAGGCCCTCACCGCCTCCAAGGGCTACGTGGCCGTGAGTGTCCAAGGGTGCCCCATGGGGTGCAGGCAGGGGCCCTGTCCCTGAGGAAGACCCAGTGGTGCTGGGGTGAGGGGTGGCATCCTCAGAGACCATCATTGGCTCTTCACAGTGACTCTGTGAGGATGGTACTGACTCAAAGTAACAGCCACCAAGTGCTAACGCTTTGCATTTAATCCTCCTAAAGCCCAACAGGGAGGTTCTGTTGGTATCCTCCCATTGCTCAGATGAGAAACTGAGGACAAGCACCTGGGGAACTCACACCTGTAACCCTAGCTACTCAAGAGGCTGAGATCTAAGGTTTAAGGTTTGAAGCCAGCCTAGGCACGAGTGTCTGAGACTCTTATTTCCAATTAACCAGAAAAAAAAAGCCAGAAGTGGAGGTGCAGCTCGAGTGGCCAAACACTAGCCTTTAGTGAAAAGTTAAAGGACAGCACTTAGACCGTGAGTTCAAGCCCCAGTATTAACACACACACACACACACACACACACACAGAGCTGAGTGACAGTGACTCAAGCCTGTAATCCTAGCTACTCAAGAGGCTGAGATCTGAGGCTCAAGGTTCAAAGCCAGCCTAAGCAGGAAAGTCCATGAGACTCTTATCTCCAATAAACCACACACACACACAGAGTACAAGAAGTAGAGCTGTGACTCAAGTCATAGATTGCTAACCTTGAGCACAAAAGCTCAGGAACAGCTCTGAGGCCCAGAGTTCAAGCCCTAGGACCAGCAAAACAAAAACAAAAAAACACCACCACCTGAAGCCTGGCGTGGTTGAGTTGAGTGACTCTCAGGCTGCACAGCTGGTCAGTGTGGCAGCCCCAGAATGCAAAGGGAATATAGTCCCGGTGTTTCCCCAAGCCTGAGAACTGCCCAAGAGAATGAGGTTTAAAGCAGCTTCTGGAAGCCATCTGCAAGAATGGGATGGGAATGGTGAGCAGATACCCAACTCTCCACCCTTCCCTGTGTCTCCCTCAGAGCGGGCAGGCGTACTACATCAACGACGGAGAGAGTGTCAACGTCTTTGAGTGGATGGCCCCCCTGGTAGGTGTTCAGGCACCCCTCCCTGAGTGAGAACCCCCATCCCGTCTCCTCTTCCTCTCCTACTGCCAAAACTCAAAGGATTTCACACTGTACCCCAGCTGTGGCCAGTGTCACTGAGCTCTGGTTGCCCCAAACTTCCCTTGATTGCTAACTTGTGGGCTTCCTAGTGGTGCTAGGGGCTTGCTCCTGTAATCTTAGCTATTCAGGAGGCTGAGCTGGGAAGAACAGTTTCAAGCCAGCCTAGGCAGACAAGTCCATGAGACTCTTATCTCCAGTTAACCAGCAAAAAGCCATATGGGATGTGTGGCTCAAGCCTTGAGCACCAGGGTCTCTGTTTCTGAGCTACTATGAAGAGTACCACAAGGAGAGTTCACATACACATTTTTGGTGTGGATATGCCCTTTTATTTCTGAAACACCTTTGCCATTCTGTATCTCCCCAGCTCCAATTTCTCCACGTACTGCCAGCCCTTGCTAGGATCTGTCTTTTTGATCAGGAGAGTTTTTTGTGCAAGTGGAAAAATTCTATTGACTCAGTGCCTGCCTGTCTCTTCAAGCATCTCCTTCTACCTTCCACACACGTCTGGTGGTTTGGACAGCAGAAGTCCATTCTAGAAAAGCTCCCAATTCTACTTAAGTGCCAGGGAACTTCATTATGTGTAGGCAGCTGGAATTAATAACTAAGGGATTTGAAGATCCCAGGTTATATTTCCTCCTTCTCCCTCCCCTACCATTCAATTCCTGCTTGAGTTGTTCTGACCATGGAGTAACTTTTGTTTTAAGATTGGCTCAGGTGTAAGGATGTCTTGGGGTCTGCCATTGTGAGCTATGGGACGGGGGAGATCTCTGCTGGCTCCAAGTAGAGGGAATAGGTGGTCTTTTCATACAGGCCCTAGAACATTTTTTTTCTTTCTGGAGGAGAGGGGACAATCCTGGGGTTTGAACTCAGGGCCTGGGCCTGAGCTTCTTTTGCTCAAAACTAACACTCTACCACTTTAAGCCACAGCTCCACTTTTGGTTTTCTGGTGGTTAATTGGAGATAAGAGTCTCATGGACTTTCCTGACAAGGCTGACTTTTGAATCATGATCCTCAGATCTCAGCCTCCTTAATAGCTAAGATTACAGGTGTGAGCCACTGGTACCAGGCTTGGAACAACCTATTCTTATCTCAGACCATGTTTGTTTGGCAGTTTGAGAAGCTAGGATACAGCCAACCCTGGATCCAGGTACCTACATCCTGGGTTTACCTGACAGGTAAGCCTGTGTGTATTAAAGCCTTCCATGCACCAGGGGTGTGTGTGTGTGTGTGTGTGTGTGTGTGCATATTTTACCTTGCTTGAAACTCAGGGCCTGGACTAGAATGAGACAAAACATATACCCAGCCCACTGGATGTGCATAAGCAATTCTTGCTAAATTTATCACCCATGGCAGATGGTATAGCTCAAGGTGGAGCACCTACTTAGCATGTAAAAGACCTTGGCTAGATCCTCTGTGTAGAGGCCAAAATCATTATCACCATAGCCCCTCATGCCCTTCGATAGGTCTGCCCCACTTAAATCCTAGTGTGCTTGTGTGGTTCCTGTGATTGAGTCCTCCCTAAAGATGAGGAGATTGGGACTTCTGAGAGGTCAGTGTCTGGGGTGTTCAGTGAGAACTGAGAGCAACAGCATCCTCCCTTCCCCTCCAAGTCCATTGCAAGTTAGGACCACTTTGGAAGACTCCATTTGAGTCCTCACCCTCAGATCAGACTTTCCTTCTACCTCCACCCCAACAGCTGCCCTGTATTCTTCTAGCACCCCTCTGCTGGCGACCCTCAAATCACCACAAAGGGCTGCATTCTTGCTGCACCTTTCTTTAGGTGCTTGCCACTGAAAACAATTGTTTTTCCTTTCTCTCTCTCTCTCCTTCCTTCCTTCCTTCCTTCCTTTCTTCCTTCCTTCCTTCCTTCCTTCCGTGCCTTTACTGGGCTTGAATGCAGGGTCTGGGCGCTGTCCCTTCACCTTTTTGCTAAAGGCTGACACTCTACCAGTGGTAGAGTGGTTAGAAATAAGTCTGGGGCTGGGAATGTAGCCTAGTGGTAGAGTGCTTGCCTAGCATACATGAAGCCCTGAATTGGATTCCTCAGTACCACATAAACAGAAAAGGCTGGAAGTGGTACCGTGAGTCAAGTGGTAGAGTTCAAGCCCCAGGACTTGCACAAAAAAAGCGGGGGAGGAGGAGGAAGAAGAGGACAATGATAATAAGTAGTCTTGTGAACTTTCCTGCTTGGACTGGCTTCCAACCTCGGTCCTCAGGACTCAGCCTCCTGAGTAGCTACATTACAGGCTTGAGCTTGGCTAGCAGTTTTTGTTGTTGTTGTTTTGTTGGTCGTGGGACTTGAACTCTGGGCCTGGGCGCTGTCCCTCAGCTCTTCAGCTCAAGGCAAGGTTAGCACTCTACCACTTTAGCCACAGCACTGCTTGCGGCCTTTTCTGCTTATGTGATGCTGAGGAATCGAACCCAGGGTCTCATACATGCAAAGCCAGCACTCTGCCACTGAGCCACCTTCCCAGCCCCAGCAGTTTCTTTGTTTAAGTAGCTCAGGGCTTCAAGCGCAGGGTGAGGAGTTCCAATCTCTCTCCTACCCAAGACTGGGGTGGGGAGGAGGAGAGGAAGGAAGGACAGGAGTGGGGTCCACTAAAAAAAGGAACCAAAGAGAACTTTGTATAGTCTCTGGTTTCTTCAAACCCTTCCAGTCAGTCAGTATTATTGGAATAAGAAGTGATGTGACCCATCTCCCAGCTAACAAGGCACACCTGCGGTTTAGAGGCATTTATGACTTTGGCAAAGGAAACGCCACGCCAGTAAAGCAAATGATTTGTAGCTTAGGAGCTCCCTAAGGTTTGCCAGCTAGGCCGGCCCGCGCCCGCTTCCTTCCCGCCCCTCCCTCCCCTCACTGACTCCCCTCTCTCCTCACTGCCCTGGCCACGCCCCTACCCTTGCCGGCCACGCCCTACCCTCGCCGGCCACGCCCTACCCTCACTGACTCCCCTCCCTCCTGGCGGCCCTGACCACGCCCCTCCCCTCACTGACCACGCCCTCCCCTCACTGGCTCCCCTCCTTGCGGCCCTGGCCACGCCCCTCACATAGCAGGCCACGCCCCTCCCCTCGCTGGCTCCCCTCCCTCCTTGCAGCCCTGGCCACGCCCCTCCACGGCCACGCCCCTCCCCTCACTGGCTTCCTTCCCTCATCGCGGCCCCGCCCACCATCTCCCCCCTCCCCTCCTTCCGTTCCTCACCCGCCTTTTCTCCACTCGCTGCCCCCACCCCTCGATGGCTCCTTCCCCCTCCATCCTCTCCTTCTTCACTAACCCAGATCGCTAACCGGCTGCGCTCTGCCCTCCCCATTCTATCTCCCTCCCGCCCCTCGCCCTGCAGCCACAGTGATGGAGTACCTGCATCTGGCCCTGAGGCCGGTCTGCAACATCCCGCCACTGCTCACCCGCAGCGAGGTAAGGAAGAGGGGTACCCCGGGCGGGGGGGGGGGTGGCTGGGCCCGCGCCTCTGCTTTCCCCTTCCTCCCCTTCTCCACACCTCCAATGCCTGCTGCCTCATCCCATGGGCCTCATGGCTGGATACTTATCAGGGTATCATTCACTCATTCATTTATTTGGTGGTACTGGGCTTTGAACTCCGGATTTTGGTGCTTACAGGGCAGGATGCAACCTCCAGCCCTGCCTTTCTCCTTTCTAAAACGCCAACCTCTGGGATTTTTGCTCAGGCTGTGCCCTGTATGCAACGCCACAACTAAAGCTCATTCCTCACCAGTGCCAGGCGTAGCGTATCTTTCCAGTCAGACTGGAGGTTCCCAAAGGCAGGTTCCCGGATGTCACTTTTCAACCCCTTCATCAACCCGGCTGTCAGCACACATACACACACTCACACAAAACCTGGTATCGCCAGACTCACAGTTCATTCCCATTGCATGGGGGCTGTGTGTTAACTACCTACCATGGATGGCAGTGGTTTTATGCTTGCTTACCACATACAGTTTCAAAGAGAGGATGCTTTCATGCAGACTAAACAGGAAGGCAACAGGTGATATTCCTGGATAGTTGTTTTAAAAAAATCCGTCCTATACATTTGTGCTTGATTCTCTCAGATACCCTGCTAATAGGAAGAGCAAAAAGATTACAATGAGAAGCTGAGTATTAGAGAAATGACTGATTTATCCAAGGCCCAGCACTTTTTAACCTACGAAGGAGTGGTAAAGGGAAAATATACCAAAGACAGAAGCAATTCTTCTAGGGGTGGTGGTACATGCATTCAAGAGGCTAAAGCAGATGGATCATGAGTTGGAGGCCATACCAAGTCATGTGGGCTACATAGACTTAAAAGAGAAAGAAAAGAGCAAGGGGCCAGTGGCTGACACCTATAATCCTAGCTACTTAGAAGGCTGAGAAACAAGTTCAGAACGAGCCTAAGCAGACAGATTCATGACACTCATCTCTAATTAGCCAGGAAAAAAAAACAATGGAGAGGAGGCATGAATCAAGTGGTAGCGAGCCAGCTGTGGACATAAAAGCTGAAAGCACAAGACCCTGAGATCAAGCCCTGGTTCCTGCAAAAACAAAAAAAGAAAGAAGTAAAAAAAAGGAAAGCTTGTTTAGTTTACCCTTTTATCCATGCAGATTGGTAAAGAGATAATAAACACAATAGGAGGGCATGAAATTCAATGAAATACCCTCCTAGGTCACTTATATAAGTGGTATACTTCTGGCTTTCAAACTCAGACCCATGTGATTCCAAGGTTAATTATTAGCTTGTAGAAAGTATCAGGAATCACATTGATGACCAACAAAAAAGCTGCCAACGTGCTACTGAACTGTGGCCAGTTATACTGATTTAGCCACCTTTCTTGTCTATACTGGATTTCCTTGTTTAATTCAGGGATTGAGGATTATTAATTGGGGAAGTATGAAGGCTGAGGCTCGTGCGCCCTCTGCTGGTTCATCGGTGACACGCCAGTCCCCGTGTAGCTCACAGACCAAAGAAGAAAGCCCAGAAACCCAGATATACTCCAGGGAAATAAGGAGGAATTTAACTTCCTAGCCTGCATAACAGCACTTAAGCCAGCGATGAGGAAGTCTGGGAGGAAGCCAGTTAGGCCTGATCTCTGCAAACACTGCCAGGATTTGCTTATATGGTTTTCTTATATGGTTCCCATATAATAAGTCCTTAGTATTATTATTTTTTGTCACTCCTTGGGCTTGAATTCAGGGCCTGGACGCTGTCCCTGAGCTTGTTTTTGCTCAAAGCTACCATTTGAGCCACAGTACCACTTCTGTTTTTTTCTGTTTATGTGATACCGAGGGATCGAACCCAGGGCTTAGTGCATGCTAACACTAAGGCAAGCACTCTACCGCTAAGCCACATTCCCGGCCCTAGTAATTTGTTTTTTAATATTGACTTATTCAGCTGGAATAAACTTACTTCTGTAGTCCTTCAAGCCCTGAACTTACTACCTGAAGCAAGAAAGGGACAAAAACTGGATTCTTCAAGCCAAGCACCAGTGGCTCACTCCTATAATCCTAGACACTCAGGAGGCTGAGATAGTAGTTTAAAGCCAGCCCAGGCAGGAAAGTCCATAAGACTTTCTCTCTCCAATTAACCAGAAAAGAAAGAAAAGGGGGGGGGGAACTAGCTTCCCTGCCTCCTCCACAGTAGTGTCCAGGACCAGAGGTTTGACACCAAGCAGGTGTTTCGCTGCTATAGGAAAATCATGTCGCTGGTGTCTTCTTCCACAGTGTCCAGCTTTGAAACAAGAGGAGGCAATGACACTGTATGACATGGTTAGAATGTGGCTGTTCTGTGTGACCTTAGGCAAGTCACTTAACCTCTTTAATCTTGAATTTCCAAATACCTACAGAGGAAATGGTGCCATCTCAGAGGAGTAAATGAGACAAGCCATATAAATGCCAACCAGAGTACTGTTCCATAATTGATAGCTATCTTTATTACCCTTGAAGTTGGTGGGCCTCAGGCCATATGGCAGAGCAAGGGGGGGGGGAGAGCAGCTCGAGGAACTACTTGTGCGTAACTGAATTCTCTTAGGGACCCTTAATCAGTTCAGCAGGGAGGGGTGAAGCCTGCGTCTGAGGCTGGGGATCCAAAGCCCTTGGGGGGGGGGTGCGGGGAGGCGGGGGAGTATTTTCCCTGAGATCCAAACTCTGGCCACAGACAGGAAGGACATTCGGCTTCATCTAGCTGGTATCTCAGAACCGGTCCAAGGCCTTCTGAAAACCAGCACTGCCATGCTAGGCCGCGAAGAGGTGTTGATCAGGGTGTGAATTTAGCAGGGCTTCCGTGGAACAGGTGTGGGGAAGGCACCCTGGAGGCGGGGCCCTCCAAAAACCAAAAAGTGAAGCGTGGAGATGACCTTCCCGAGGAGGGCATCTCGGGAACAAGACGCAGCAGCGGGTCCTTTCAGATCGCTGCGATGAAGGGCAAGGCAGGGAATGCTCGGCCCTCCCACTAGCCCGGCCCCCGCTGCCCCGTCCCCCCCCACCGCAGGTGCACAGCGTGGCCGTGACGCACACCTTCCGGATCGCCAAGGCCCGCGCGCAGCTGGGCTACGCGCCAGACAAGTTCAGCTTCGCGGACGCCGTGGAGCACTACGTGCGGTCCACGGCTCGGCAGCCCCGCGGCCCCACGGCGCGGACGCTCCTGCGGCTGCTGCTTGGGCTGCTGCTGCTGCTCGGCCTCATCAGCCTGGGTCTGCACTTCCTGCAGCCTCTGCAGGCGGCCGTGCAGCGGCTCTGATCGCGCGCGGCCCGCGGGAGTCCGCCGGGCCTTTACCTTTCCCGGGGGCCGGTACTCGCCCTCCCACTGCTGGCCACGCCCTCCTCGTTTCTTGCTATTGGACTGTTGAGCCCGCCTCCTCCTGACACGCCCATAGCCCCGCCCCTGCGTCCTGGCCACGCCTCTTTCTCCACTCTGACTCCACCCTATGACGTAGCCAGGTCTCATAACCTGCTCCACCTCGGAGGTACCACCTCCCGCTACTGGCCCGCCGCCTCTTCACTTCTGGTCCTTGGGCGGGCCTCTGCGTGCTCACCACGCCCCCTGAATTCTGGTTGGACACGCTCAATCAAGCCCCGCCTTCCCCGAGTCCTGGCCACGCCTCTTTCTCCACCCTTGGACCTAGCCCTTTCTCACCACCTGCTTCCCCTAGGGGACCTTCTCCCGGCTCCGGCCCAGAGCTGGTGGGCCCTGGCCACACCCTCTGGGCTCAATCCCTCCGGCTCCCAGGAGCGACTTTCCTTTCCGGCCCCGCCTCCCGGGCGGGTGCGCTCTGGCCCCGTCGCCGCGGATTTGTAGGCCCGGAGCTTGGCGAGTCTGCAGCCGCTTCCCAGGGCCGGGACTCCTCGCTGCCCGGGCATCTCCGAGCACGTCTGAGGTCGCTTTGTAATCCTGGGTTTTAGACCCGTTGTAGCCGCGTGCGTTTGATCTGCCCTCACTCACGCCGATCTCCGTGGGCTGATAGCCCGGGTGTGGGGCTACCTGGGACCAGGGCTTCCCTGCAGTCGGGCCGGGCCTTTATGAATCTGGGGAAAGACTCATCAACATGAGTACAAATACGGCACAAACAAGTTCCAGGGGAAAAAAAGGAAAATTAAAGAATTGAATGTCTCCAAATTTGTATCGTTTTGATGAGAAAATAAAGTTTAGTCCTATTTAAGGCTTTGATATTCCTTCGATGTGTTGTTGATGGCAGTCTCCAGCCTCTTTAAGGAAGGGTTGAGCACCGAACTTCCCTTTCAAATGATTTGTTTTAAGTAGTACAAGGGGAGTTAATTCATGGTGTCAGGTTATGAGTACAAAACATCACTTGATCTGTGTGACTCCTGCCATCATCTCCCCACCACCACCACTGCCAGAGATCTTGTGTGTGTCTCTGCAGGGCTTGAGCTCTGGGCTTGGGCACTGACCCTGTGCTCCTGTTCAAGGCTAGAGCACTACCACTTTGAGCCACTGCACCACTTCTGGTTTTCTGGTAGTCAATTGGAGATGAGTCTCACAGAGGTTCCTGCCCCCGCTGGCTTTGAACCGCGATCCTCAGATCTCAGCCTCCTGAGTAGCTAGGATTACAGGCATGAGCCACCAGCGCCCGGCTTGGACTTTATTTTTTACTTTATTTGTTTATTTTTTTTGCCTGTGCTGGAGCTTGAAGTCAGGACCTTGCACTCTTGGCTTTTTCACTCAGGGCTGGCACTCTACCACTTGAGCCATATATCCTCTTCTGGCTCAATTGGAGATAAGAGTCTCTCATAGGCTTTTCTGACTCAAGCTGACTTGCAAATGGGGTCCTCAGATTTCATATCCTTGGTAGCTAGGATTACAGAAGTGAGCCACCAGGGTCCTGATAATGGCTTTTATTTATATAACTTGGCAGGAGGGGCAATACTGGGGCTTGAACCCAGGGCTCCCTGCTTGGCTTTTGTGCTTCAGGCTAGTGATCTAGCTCTGGAGCCACACCTCCACTTCTGGCTTTTTGCTGGGTAACTAGAGATTAGTGTCTGCAGGATTTGTCTGTTCAGGCTGGCTTGGAATGGTGATCCTCAGATCTCAGCCTCTTGAGCAGCTAGGATTACAAGCATGGGTCACAGGGGCCCAATTTCAGCCTCATCTCTTGTCATTGGTCCATTCTGCTGACATTCCTGTATTCGCCACCTCCAGTTGCCTATTATGCAATATCAAGGCCAGCTAAACATTACTTTACTTCCCCTGGTCCAGGTTAGCAAGTTTCCTGGTGAACTCCGCTCAGCGATGTAATTAATAATGAAAGTAAGCCAGGCTCTGATGGCTCACACCTGTAATCCTAGCTACTCAGGATCAAGCGGTAAAGTGCCAGCCTTGAGTAGAAAAAGCTAAAGGAGAATGCCCTGGGCCCTAAGTTCAAGCCCCAGAACTGGCACCCAAAAAGATAATTAATAAAAATATCTGTAACTGTGTTTTACATGACTGCCTTGCTCGGGCTGTGGGACCTCAGGCTGAGCTGGGCTTCTGATATAGTAGCTGGTTGTTGAATGAATAAACAAGGAAGTTGACACTGTGACCTCAAGGTTGACATCCCAATGTGGGGCCCATTCTACCAGACCCAGAGGTTTTTGGGTATCTGGCAGAGCCTCCAAAAGCTCTGGGCAAGCAGAGCCTAATCCAGAGTCATTCTCACCTTTCTTTGGCTATGAGAGGTAAGGACACCTAATTCCTGTGGCCTCAGCCTACAAGCAGTTAGACCTAGACAACTTTTTAGGAGGTAAGTGGGGGGTGGGGGGCTGAGATAAGACCCCCTGGAAGAAAATGAGCAGATTTTCTAATTTTAAATATGTTTTTATTATCTTTAAGTAGTAGAAAGGAGTTACCATTCAGTAAATCAGCTTATAAAAAATGCATCCCGACTGATTCACCCCTTCCATCATTCTCCCCTCGTGTAATGGCTTTTTTATTTGTTTTGTTTTGTTTGAAAAGAATGGAATTGGTGAGAGAGATAGGTGTGTACTGGGCTAGAGGGTGAAGAAGGCTTGAACTGATTCCTTTCTCGTCTCCCTTATTTTTTTCCCTCTCCCTTATTTAAAAAAAGAAATAGTCTCAGGAGGAAGAAGAAGAAATTTTTAAAAAGAAGAAGAAATGAGGCTTGGAGATTCAAAGTTGCATTCGTAGTAGGAAAAAAAAAGCAATTGTACGGGTGTGGCAGCGGTGGGATTCGAACCCACGCCATCGAAATGACTGGAGCCTAAATCCAGCGCCTTAGACCACTCGGCCACGCTACCGCCCGCTTCTGGCTGTGTCCTTCACAGTAAAGTTAGTGTGACGACGCAGCCCTCAGTGCAAGCTCCACCCTCAGAGGTTTGCGCATGCTCAGTTTGCGCCGGTGGCTAACTTATGCTCCGCCCTAACTTTTTGAAACGGTTAGTCGTGATGGTCTCGTCACCGACCCCAACAAGGACAGTAGGGATGAATTACTAAAAAGGAAAGAAGAATTCTTAAAATGTTAAACACTGATGTCATCCTCGCGCGAGTGCAATTTGATTTGCTTTTCCCATGAGCTTCTGCCTGCGACCACCAGGTGGCAGTGCTGCGCTGCCGCTTCCTCCAAGCAGGGCGGGGGGGCGGAATCTCGGGTTTGCAGAGTTCAGCCTGTGACCCCTCTGCTACTTTCTTGGCAGGCGTGAGCACCCTCAGTCAGAAATATTAACCCATTTCACCCCGGGGCATCTGTCCCGGTTGTCCAGCCATAGCCAGCAGTAACCAGCCTCCCAATATTTTTTGATGATCCAAGATATTTTAGAAAAATGTAACAAATTGAAGCCCAGCCTATCAAACCTTCATTACCCACTTTTCAGAATTTCTCAGATCTGCCTCAAATCTTTTTTAAAATATAATTTTATTGTTATCATTCAGGTGTTGTACAGAGGATTTACCACTCTAAGTCAGATGAGTACTTTTGTGACAATGTCACCCCTTCCTTCACTTTCTCCCAATTTCCCCCTCCTCTTCCTGCCCTACTTCAAATCGTTAAAATTAAAAAAAAAGAAAGAAAAAGAAAAAGAATGGAGCCTATGTAAAGATAATAGAAAATATTTTTTTTAAAGAATGGAACTTGTTTAGTGGTAGAGCACTTGCCCAACAGGTACAAGGCCTAGATTCCATGCCCAAAACAAAGCAAACACTGGTAGCTAAAATTCAACTCTCTTTAGAGCAAGTTCAAGGCATTGCTGTTGTCATGGCTACCTCTTCTTCCTCCTCCTCTTCCTCCTCCTTCTCCTCCTTCTCTTCCTTCTCCTGCTCTTCCTTCATTCCACAGCAGTTTCCAATCATTCTAGGTTTTTTTGGTTTGTTTTATTTTCCCCTTAATTTTCCATGTAGTTATACATTTCTCTGCAACATTAAGGAAGAGACAACACCCAGAGCTGTAAGGACAGTAGATATGTTACACTGAAGGACGCTCTGGAAAAAGAACTTGTAAGTATATTCCCTTAGGCGGCAAAAGGAACTTTACAGCTGGAATTAAATTCAAGACCTTCAGATGGGTTAAGTAGCCTATTTATTCCCAATGTAATCACCAGGGTCCTTACAAAAGATGCCGGTGCTTGTGGCTCACACCTGTAATCAATCCCAGCTACTTAGCCATCTGACATGGGGCATTGTGGTTCCAAGCCAGTCCAGGCAGGAAAATCTGTGAGACTCTTATCTCCAATTAACCAGCACAAAGCTGGAAGTGGAGCTCAAATAGCAGAGCACTAGTCTTGAGCAGAAAAAGCCAAGTGAGTATATGAGGTCCTAAATTCAAACCCCAGTATGCACACACTCAGTTCAAAGTCAGCCTGGAAAGAATGAGGGAGTGGGTGACACTATTCAAAAGGAAATGTACTCATTACCTGACTTATGTAACTGCAACCCCTCTGTACATCACCTTTACAATAAAATTTAGTTTTTTAAATAAAAGGTAATATTTTTTTAAGCCAGCCTGGTAAGAAAGTCCATGAGATTTTTTTCTTCAATGAACCACCTGAAAAATGGAAGTGGAGCTGTGGCTCAAAGTGGTGGAGCGCTAGCCTTGGGCAAAAGAGCTCAGGGACAGAGCTCAGGCCCTGAGTTCAAGCTCCCTGACTCCCCCCCCCCCACACACACACACAGAAAACATACAAGGGAGAGGCAGGAATCAGAGTAGGGTACACATACATGGGAGGTACACATGCATAGGGGAGGGACTGAGTAATCCAGGAGTAAGCCCAGAAATACGAGGAGCCTTTGCAAGC